AGGCTCTGATCATTACTGTGGAAAACCAAAGAGGACAACAAGATATACACAGCTTTTCTCACCGGGACAATGCCTAAGAGCGAGGCAGGAGGTTCTGTCAATCAAGTTTGCACCCAAGCATGAGGGTTGAGTTCTGATCTCCATCTCGGAAGCTCACTCAAGAAAAAGACTATGAAAGGGGGAGAAGGTGTGTGGAGCTGTGGTCCTGGGGTGGGGTGTGTGTGGATGTCATCAAGATATACTGTCTGTCTGTATGAAATAGTTATAGAATAAACTGTTAAAAATAAAGAACACGGTGTCTTCATCTACTGGTTATGAGTTATTAGGATCCAGTCAAAGCAGTGTCCTGGAACTTCTAAGGAAAACTCATTAGAAACTACCTAGGTCTCTTGAAATATTCTTTCTAGACTGTCCCTCCTGGAACACGGCCACCATGCTGTGCAAAGTCCATGGCTCAGGGCCTTAGGTCAACAGCCCCTCCTGCATTCCCAAACAACAGCCAACATCAACTGCTAGCCATGGAAGTGACCCATTTGGACTTGTGCCCGTTCAGGCCTTCAGATGTAACTGTATCCACAACCCTACCTAGCCAACGTCTATCTGCCTACAACTGAGGAGAAACCCAGAGAAAGAATGAGTGGCCATCCCTTACCAAATCCCTGGCCTTCAAAATCATGAGCAAAATGTAGCATCTTTAGGCCACTGGGTGTTGAGGGAGTTTTCATGTGATTGTATGTAGCTAGAGAAAAGTTGTTACAAAGCAGCATTCTATCACAGAAATCCAAAACAGGCAGCATTGGCTTTGTGACCAAGTGCTCGACACTAGCTCTCAGGGCCTCAGAGAAGTGGCTAGTGAAAAATGGGAAGAACATCAAGGAAGTAAGGATTTGAAAGGCAGAGAGAAAAGACAGTGTAGGAGACGAGGAGACTGAAGAGAGGAACACTTGAGTTACATGCAGACAGAACAGTTAGCTTGCCTAGAGCGCCATGGAAAGCAGAAGAGACGAGATGTGACCAAGGCCTCTAGGCAGTATGTTGAAAAGTGCTTCTTACAGCCACATAGGATAAAGCTCAGAAAGAGATGGGAGGTGGAGCCAAGAGAAGACTGTTTAAGGCTGGGCGCGGTGGACCAGGAACAGAGACAGAGGGAAGATGGTTCAAAAACATTTCCATAAACCCTAGAGGAATTTAAAAGGACTCCAAGTAAACGGTTTTCTCTCCAATTTCTCTCAGAGAGTATTCTCCAACTGAGACATGGCTAATGACCTTGAGATTAAAGGTTAAACCCCATCTCAGCTGAGACTGTGGAGAGATGGAAAAATATGTCCCCACAGTTTTCCACTCCAAGCTTCACAATCATTCTGCCTCTAAGGACACTGTGCTCACATCTGGAGTGTGCTCCTCCACAGCAGCTTCAGGTGGGTGTGCAGAGTCAGATGTGCTCTGAAGGGTTATGGAGGTAAGATTTTGACCATCAATAGCCAAGGTCATGGGAAAGCCCTCGTACTCCCATCATAGTTGTGCTGGAAGAAGCAGTGTCAACCTTGACCCAAAGTGATGGCAGTACACGACAGAAGGTCAGATTTCTACTAGAGGACATGGACTGAGACCACAATACGGACCTGGGCTTGGTTCCTCATAGCCAGCTGATTTAACAGTAGAGCCAAGCATCAGAGAACAAGAGAACCATCCTCAGGTAGCAGGAACAGACTCTAACTACAGAATGGCAACACATCACTGACTTTGCTTCAGAATGAGGACCAGCACCTGCTCTGGCCTGCCCATCTGCTAGTCCGGTGTGTTACTCCTGTACTACCATAGGTTGGTGGGTGGCAGTCTGTGCTGAACCATGTTCAAACAGTTCCCAGGAACCCCTGTGCAGATCTGAACTTGATATATTTATTTGTTGGTTTGTTGCATTCTGTATTATTTGTTTGCTTGGGAGTGGGGATTCTTTGAGACAGGCTCTCACTCCGATCCTGGCTGCCCACTACTGACTCACAACAATCCTCTTGTGTCAGCTTCATACCTGCTGAGCTGACAGGTGTGATCCCCCATACCCAATGAACCTGATTGGAATAACAAAATCCTGAACATTAAACCACTGTCACAATAAAAGTAAGTTGGGAACCTTGAAGATTGTTCCTTGTTTGTTCGTTTGTTGTGTTTTAAAATGATCTTTTAGCATCTGAAGATAAATGGTGGGTGATTATCAGTGTCTACCAGTTCTCTGCTTCTCTTTCCCTTTAAGGGTTTGGATGGGAGAGAATGAAATCTGTATTAGTTGTTTTTCTGGTACTATCTTGTCACATCTTTTTAGAGCTGGAGAACTATATAGAGAGAACAGGTTCACTATTCTTGTTCAAGTGAAGAACATCAGAATAGGGACTGAGATCCCTACCCAGGAATCTTAAGGGGCATACTCAAACCACCTCTAAACCATGCTTCATTCATAACACTATCTATTCATAGTATTTGCCATGCAAATTTAGAGTATTTTCCTATTCTGTACAGAAAAAAAAGGTTAAAATTTTAAGCTTCCTGCAACTTTACTAAATGAATATGTTAAAAAGTACTAATGATGGAAACTACTAAGGCTGAGGAAGAAGTGTAAATTTTGTCCTAGCCTCAGAAGCATTATGAGGGTTTTTTGTTTTTGTTTTTTTTGTTTTTTGTTTTGTTTTGTTTTTTTTAATGACTTTACCTTCAGAGGTGATTGACATGGAAGCAGAAGGTGGTATCAGCTTGTTAGCAAGCAAGCGAGTCTTTATACGTTGGTATGCTGAAAGTGGTCAAGGCAGGAAACATGAGTCACCATAGATCAGGGTGTTTAGTTATGCCAATGTCCTAAGTTCACAACAAAGCAGGAGCTCTTCCATTTCATAAGACAATAACCAGGTGACATGCAACACTGCTGCTATCTCAGAATTTGCTCCCAATATATCTCTAAGCCTAATGAACTCCCTGGTTCTCCAGGATGAACTGGGCTGAAATCAAATTTTGATTTTTTTGATTGGGACTCCAAAAGGAAGATAGTCAATGTTCACATCTCCTCCCATAGTTAAAAAAAGATTCCCACAGAAAATGGGGTATTCCTGTCACTATAAATGAATGTCCAAAATTGTTTAGATTGTTAAGTATGTGTGGTCTCTATCAGAATGTATGTGTTCCACCTCTGCCAGACTCAACCACATGAAAAGGTATATGCAACCTTCTTATACCACGCTACATTGCCATCTGAAAGGGTCGTGCCCTTGAAGAACACAATCAAATTATAAAACATAACCACAGAAAGGAATCACATAATATTTTAGTTCACAAATTACCTTGGTGTTACACTCTCTACTGTAGTATATGTGGCTTCGGGGCCACCAGTTAGACATGCCTGCTGGGGGAAACAGCTTTCTCTGTTGGAATCCAGAGCACCAAGTGGTACTTGCTGCATGATTGATGACTAGTAAGTGCCAGTATGCAGATCACCATCCACTTGTGTCTCCTTTGTGGTTTTCAGATGATAAGAAGTCAAATGCCCTACACTCTGACCTTTAGAATCCTCCATCTCCCAAAGCTCCCCCACCATCCACCCACAGAACCTCTCGGCTCCTCTCCTATGCTGCTGTCTTGCTCCTGTGTTTCTGCTCTGCTCTTTTACTCAAACACAGTAGGCATGCTGTTCCCTCCCCATGAAATGTTCTCCCTCAGACAACTGTAAAGTTAGCTTCCTTAAGTCCTTCTGGTCTGCATTCAAAAGTCACTCCCTCAGAGATGCCTTCTCTGTCCGTCTGAGCCTCTCAGGGCCCCACCCCTTCCCTCTGATCTTCTCCATAACCTGCACCATCACCATGTATTCCATACAATGACTCTTCAGCTATCACTTAGACTCCACGAGGCCCAGAATTTTTGTCTCTCTTTTTTTTAACCATCCTGAATCGAAAATCCATGCCTACCCAATGTAAAGAAGACAAATGAATAAGTGAATGAATAAATGAATGAATGAAATGACTTGATAGCAGACTGCTTCTAATATACAGTTGGTGAATAGTCAGCTTTGCAGCAAGCTCACTTCCAATTCATAGAACGGTAGTTCTGAAGATTTTTCTCAATGGCAATTTTTATATACATGAATGAAAGATTTATTAATATGTTTTTCTCCCTAAGATCCTGAAATCTTACTCAGCCTGCTAAAATGTCTGGATTCTATGTAGACATTACAGATAAAATAGATTAAGGTAGGTACTTTTCCATTTTATGGATATAAATATCATAATTATCTTGAGAGGAATGTATAAAGCCATAAAGCCATCACCGTGGATAATTGTGATTGCTGGCAGCTCCTAACTCTGGATGTCATCACACTGGCAAAGTCCCAGATAAAGTATAACAATTTTCTACTAATTCAGACCAAACTAATATCAACCCAGGAGGTTCTTGATGTGTTTAAGGTGAGAGCTCTGCATTATCTATCAGACTTATAGACGAGGCCTCATCCAAAAGCTAGATGTGATGCCCACTTGAAATACAGCATAATGACATACAGATGACATCATGTCTTAGAAAGTTATGGGGAAAGCAGTTTCCTCCATCATCCCTCATATTTTAATACCCACACTGTTTGAATATGATTCCTGAAGTCTAACTCAGATGTTTTCTGTTCCTATTTTGACAGTATGGGTGAAGGGCAGAAAACCAGTCAATCATGCTACTGAGACACAGACACCTTGTGCTTATAAAGGCAGGATGAGATCAGGAGGGCTCTGCCTTATCCCTGCTTCCTGGCTGCTTACACTCCTCCTTCACTGGGGCCCCCTCTGTCCTCTCTCTGACCATCAGTCAGGCAGATTGTAGTGAGTATGGACCTGGCAAGAAACTATTGTTGGAGAATTTGGTTACAGCACCTGGGGCCTGAAGAATAAGCCTGTGTGAACCAAGCTCCATAAGCTTCAACTTCCTGACCAGAAAACCAACACTTAAGGAATGTTTGAGGCAGGCTGGGGGGGTGGGGGTGGGGGTGACTTAACTGGTAAGCTCTGGCTGAGCAAGCCTGAAGACCTGAGTTTCATCTCCAGAACATTCTTTTCAAAACCAGGCATCGTGGCTGCACTTGTAACCCTGACACTGAGGAGACAGACAGGTGAATGAATGCCTGCAGCCCCTTGCCAGCCAGCCTTCTCTGACTGATGATTCCCAGGTCTCAGTGGGAGACAGTCTCAGAGAAACAAAATGAACAAGACTTGAGGAACAACACCTGAGGATGACCTCTGGCCTCTGCACACATGTGTATATATGTACACCTGAACCCTCACACACAAGAACACACACATACATCTACCTCTACACATAAAAACACACGTACAAAAAATGCATAATTTACAAGACTGTTAAGTACTTTGCCAACTCAAAAGCATTCTACTAATGATAGATATTAACATCAACAACGGCAAATAGAGGGAAACACCGCAGAGCAGACAATAAGGACTGGGAAGTGATGTACCACTGGGCTTCACATCACTTGAGGCTTCAAAGGGCCATAGGACTCCTTGAAGACTCTGCTTAGGGTCATGTAAAGTGAAGAGAATTGGGCTCCATGGAATTTTATGGGGACCAAATGAAATTACATAGTTAAAAAAAGTGGAATCAAATAAGTAAAGTGAAACAAAATTCTATTGACCTAGTAATTGCTCGGTGAATACTTGGTGTTGTTGTATGCTTTATTAACTTCTGTTTTGTACACTTTCTCTTCACCAAAAGGAACCATCCTAAGGTTTCTAATCTTCAGTAAGTAGCACTTCCATCCTCAGCTTCTCTGGATGCTTTTTTGATATTCTTAATACTTTTTAGAGACCTATTTATAGAAAGCAATCTCCACAATAATTCCATTCAAAAGGTCAAGCAGATGATGCGTATTTAATGGTTGACCAAAACATTCAATTTTTTTTTTAGATCTCACCAGAAATTCCACTGACCTTGCCTTCATTAATCTTTGTCTTTCTAAAGCTCATCTCTTGAGCATTCTCCTAATCTAGTCATAGCCGCTAGAAATGACTTACTGTGTAGCAGACCCTGTCCTAAGCATTTTGCTGATAGTCACTTTTAATTCCCTTGGCAACCATGGGCAGTAAGTATACTACTAACCTCACCATGCATGGGAAAACTGAAAATCAAGGAGTTACATAACTAAACCAAGATTGTGATACTAGGAAGTTGCTAGCTGAAGATATGAACTCAAGCCATGTGGTTCAAGGCCCTGAGATCTTAACCACCACACTAACCTTCTTACTACAATCCTTAGCTCCTTTAAGACCTTCTAGCAGCTTGCCTCTCTTTGTGACTGGAGTTACTGGAAACCCATCAGGTCTACACTTCACACATTATAGACGGAACTGCAGAGTACAGCTGGATCCAACAGACTTACCACAGCCGGTCATTGAAATCAATACAATTGGACTCTCTCTCACATGATGCTCAATTGTGATTCTCATCATTGAGACTGACAAGAAGGGTCTAGCCAGACGGCATCATGCATAAAACTGCCTGCCACCAAATCTGACGACTTGAGTTTGATCCTTGGGATGCACATTGTGAAAGGTGAATGGAGAGAACCAATTCCCGTGAGTTGTTCTACAAGCTTTACGTGTATACATGTATGTACACACACACACACACACACACACACACACACACACACACACACACATAAATAAATTAATGTAAATCTTTTTTTAATAGACTGACAAGAAGGACTGTTGGGCTTATGTGACAGGGATTTTTCAATTACACAAAGGAATGAATTGTATATGCAAAGGCTATGTACACATGGTGGGGGAGGTGGAATACATTTTTGGCCTCAGTTATCCACACGTCCCACATGGATGATAAATATGGGACCTTACAATACAGATTTCTAATAAGTCAACAAAGGACAGTGTATCTGATTTCAGGAGTGTAATTGAAGAATTTCTCATCCTGGTCCTGGTTAATGAAACTAAAACAGCCTCATTCACCACTGTGTGCAAACTGGCTTCAGACAAGGTCTTGCACAAGTCAATTTTAATCCCAAACACTTCACAGGGCATGTATAGACTCTGCTTTGTCTCAGGGTGCACAGAAGCTGTTTGTGTGGTTCTGACTCAATTAAAGAGACACAAAACAATTTTTCTATGACTGTGACCCCAAGAAACAGGAATAGCCCTTCAATATTAATCTCTTCAGAGTTGTGCTCCAAAAAACAAGCCAGCAACAAACCATGTAAATGTCAAGCCTCCCTCTAAATTGGCCCTAATGACCAAATCCTAACCTCTAACACAAACCCAAAAGACAGCAAGAGAAAAATAAATAGTCCTCATAACAGTTCCCCTGGATTGCCAGCCTATTTCCTGCGGCTTTATTCTGACTCCATTTGGTCCCCAGCGTAGAAGCACAGTCAGATCTTCCAGCACCGACTCTGTATTTTTCTCCTAACTTGGCTGCTGGCTTTGATTTACTTAGGAGAGACTGTCCCTTGAGTAAATACTATATGGTTTTGAAAATAACAGAGGCACTATGTGAAACAAAGATTGGATTGGAAAGTAAATGTAAACTTGAAGTTTAATTACATTTTATGTCTTAATGTAACTTCTTAGCCAGGGATTTAAAACACTCCACCACTGAGTTCCAACTTGCCTTTCCAGTCTGTTTTGTTCCTTCCTCCTTATTATTGGTGTGGGGAAAATGTGCAGGCCTTTGGATCAGTTGGAGTATTTTGCAAAGGCATTACTCGGCAAATATTATACACAGTTACAAGGATAGGAACAAGGGACACAAAAAATGAAAAAGAATAATAATAAGTAAATGCTTTCTCTTTGCTTCAAGCAGCTCACAGCCTACTAAGACTTGCATAAATATAATTATAGCATGGTAACTATGAAGAAATAGAAATACAGGTGACATACAGTGAGACTAACCCTCCTGATTCTTCCCAAGGTACCTGCTCTTATCTTAAATGGCCCCACCAGAGCCAAGTCCCAGGAGTGTGATTGTCAGCCTGTGACACTGTGAGGAGCTGGTGAGGACTTTCAGAGCTTGGGCCTGGTGGAAAAGAAGTTAGATCAACAGGGCAGGGCCCTGGAAAGGATATTGGGACATGAATTGCTCTGTCCCTCCTTTCCTCTTGTGTTCTGACCACCGTGAGGTAAGCGGCTTCCTTGTCACCTGCCCCCTCTATAAGGGGTTGACTCATTGTGAGCCCAAAAGAAACGTGCTCACCAAGCATGGGGAAGAATCTCCAAACTGAACTCAAGCAGCCCTTTCTTACTTCAAGGTCATTATCTAACTTCGTTTTCTCTATGGCAAAGTGAATTAAACAACCTCACATTGTAACTCTTCACACTGAGTTTCTCACATTGTGCCTTGGCGCCACACATTAGCCTTCACATCCATTTAAGGAAAGACAACTTCTAACTGGTCTATTGTAGCTAGTCCTAAAAATACTCTGTTTCATCCCCTCCATCACAACCCTCATTCAATACCTCAGCACATGTTGTTTTTTGTCTTTGTTTTTGTTTTTGAGACAGGTTTTCTCTGTGTAACAGCCCTGGATGTCCTGAAACTCACTTTGTAGACCAGGCTGGCCTTGAACTCACAGAGATCCACCTGCCTCTGCCTCTCAAATGCTGGGATTAAAAGTCTGTACCACCACATTCGGCAGCACATATTTAATGAGTCACCATCACCTACTTAGACAACTCTAAACTCTCTGTCCACAAAGCAGATAGGATGAACTCTTTATGATTTTAGCTGTTTTTATTTTGAATTACGTGTATGCATGTGTGTCTGTATCTTGGTATATGCAAAGAGGGCAGTGCCCCTGGAGGCCAGAAGGGGATGTCAGATTCCTCTGGAGCTGGAGTTACAGGCAGTTGTGACTTGTCCAATATGGATGTAATAAGAGCAGCTGAGACATCTCTCCAGCCCAGGATGAATTATTTAAAAAAGGAAGAAAGAAAAAGAAAAAGAAATCCTGTCTTCTCTATCTCTTATTCCCCCTGATCCCAAGGCTGGGGATTCAGAGCCTTGCTTGACAAGTAAGCGTTTTACTCCTAACCCACATCTCTAGTCCTTTCTGTCTTTTAATATGGCTTCAAATTCCTGCCGGATAAAACGGAAACCCATGTAAGGCAAAATGGCTCACAGTATTCTTCAGTGTCCAGCCCTGCTGCTCCAGCGTCCTCCTGTGCCTCACCCACACAACTCACTGAACCTTGTTTTTATTGAGTCCCTATATTCCCCTTTATCTGAGGGTGATTTGTTATGTGAGACAATGCCTCACTCTGTACCCCAGGCTAGGGGCTGGAGAGACAGTTCAGGGTTTCGTCTTCTTTCAGGGAATCCAAGTTCTATTACCAGCACTCATGAGAGCAGCTCACAATTCCAGCCTCAGATCAGACATCTCTGGCTGGCCTCCTTGGGTATTTACACATGCATGGCACCTAGACAGACAGACAGACAGACAGAAGACAGACAGACAGACAGACAGATGCACACACACACACACACACACACACACACACACACACACACACACACACAATTGAGAAAAACAATAAGAATAACGGAATCAGCCCAGGCTTGCCTCAAGCTCAGAACCCTCCTTTTGGTGTCCTGAGGGCTGGGATTACAGACACACTCACCATGACAGATTCAAATTCCCTTTTCCATGGGGTTCCTCCATCTCCTCTACCTTCAGTCCATTCTCTTCGGGTACATAGGTCAACTTTCACATCTCAACACAAGTCTGTTTTGATAGTCAGTCTCTCTTGTCTCCCCATATCAGCTCAACTCTCCTACACTGTATCCTCTCCATTTCCATGTAGTGAACCCCAGTGGTGATTTCACATTTATCTGTGAGAATATCTGACTAATACTCAGTTATGCTATAAGAGCGCAAGCAACTGGCAGGGCAGAAACCAGAACTATTTCTGCTCACAACTAATGCTCGACAGACATTCCACAAGACAAGTCTGAAAAGGGAGCCCTCAGCATAGTAACATGGGGAAAGAGCAATGTACTTTCCCTGGAAGAGGGTAGACAGAGTGTCACCAGGCGGGTGTTGAGGGGTCATCCCCTTTGGGCCTTGAAGGATACATAATCATTTAGCAAGCAGGAGGAACACACAGAAGCAAGCAGACAGAGGTGAAACACTGCTCACTGTGTTTGAAGTTGGGATAGGGGACAGTGAAGTGTCAGACACAAGGCTGAAGAGATTTGAGGATGCGCCATGGAGGGCCTCTTGTGCTCTGTAAAGCAATTTGGATGTGTGCCACTGGAAATCAGTGAAGAGTTGTAAAAAGAGAGTGAAGTGATGATCAGATTTACATTTTAGAAAAATCACTCTCCAGCTGTATGAAGAATGCCCTTGATAGGTTGATATAAGAGACAGGGTGAAGATTTGGGAGACCCCGTGACCATGCTACTAGTCTACGTAAGAGATGACTTAGAAGTCGAAGCAGTGTGAGCTAAAGCAGGGATTAAGGAGTTGACAGTTTCAAAAGAGGTGAAAAAAAGAGAGAAAAGTTTGAAAACATTCGTGAATATCACCTTCTCACCATCTACCCTTAGGAGTGCCAGCATTGTAGATGCCTTCTACCCCTTCCAACTTTCTGTTAGCTTTAGAGATGAGAACTCAGGTCCTCTCTCCTGAAAGGCAAGCCATGTCTTCACGGAGCCGCGTCTCACAATGCCATGTTTTCAGGCCACAGACTCTTATTTTTAAAGGCACTTATTTTATCCCCTAATAATATAGACTTTCAAGTAGAATTACTACATCAACAATTACTCACACCTGTCTTGACCTGGAAGCAATGTCTGGAGTGACAAGGGAGACTCCATCCTCCTGAGCATGCAGGCAGTGTTGAACCCAGAGAAGTACTGTGAAGACAAGCCCGGGCCTGCATCTTGGCCCTTACTCTCACTAGTTATGTGACCACGAGTCACGTATGAACCATGGTGAAATAGGCCTGTAATAATGACCATCTTGATCAAGGCAACTCTTGCTGCTCTGAAAGATAAATCATACATCTCAGAGCTTGACCCAAAGAAGACTCACTTCTCAGTACACGAAACCCAGGACAGATTCAGTCTCCCTCCTTTCATGGTTCCCTTTCCCCTGTGATGTCGAATTGTGTATAGCCCATCCCCTTCTACTGCCCGTGATAGAAAAGGCACACTGGTTTCCTAATCAGTTCAGTGAGGCAGATAGACACTGTCCACCACTAAGAACAATTGCTTGACCTCAACTAGTTGCAAAAGATTCTGGGAAATGTTGTACTTCTTAGCAATCACTTCCCAGGAGAAAAGCTATGCACTGGATATGCCACAACAATCAATAATAATCCTCTTTGCTTGATGTGAGGACAGCTGGTCCATGGACCTTAAAGTATATGGTACCCAAGGAGCCCTGAATAGTATTAGTCCTCATCTTCTTCCCGATTAACACCCCCTCCCTTCATCCTAAATATGCTTCTACTGTGTTCCCAGTAGACCTTCCATCATCCCACTTCTGTCTCTATTCACATTCTTGCCTTCTTATATAAAACCTCAAGCTATCTCTTCCCTTGTCAAAAGCTCCACCAATTTTACCTCTGGTCTCACAGCAATCTCCTGGAGTGAGCCTGCTCTGATCTTTGTGGACAGATGAAGTTCCTCAAAGCCTATCACGGTGCTGGCACCCCTTCCATTTATCACTTAGCAGATGTCTGTTTAGGACCATACCAGCACTGAGTCCCACTCTTTCTGAAAGAACCTCAGATACAATTTCCCTGCAGGCAGCCACTGACCTCTAGGTTTCTTCACTGAGAATTATGGGAAGAGTAAACTCCACTAAGACTGGGAGAGAAGAGACCAGCTCATAGAGTTCTGAAGAATCCTCCCAGTGACTGAAGAGCTAAACATGTATTCAAATCATTCTGGAAACGCTGAGAACATAATTTGCCTCCAGTATTTAGATATTCAGATAATGGCTACCTGAATTATTGGGATAATACTACATGTCTTTATTTCATTTTACATGCACACAAGAATACAAGGTGCTAAGGCCTGCTTATGTGTACAGTATGCACTTAACAAAAAGATGACACACCTTTGAATGTTATGATAACTAAGAAAAACAAATATTGAAAGGCTTCTTTAAGAAGTCTCCATGTGTATGAAGCAAGGTGGTGATGTGGAAGGTTTCAGGGTAATTTGATAAATGTCAACAGTTTAAACTATTTACATCTATCCATCAGGTGAGGACACCACTCTTGGTTTATCTGAGCAGTTGCCAAGCTCTCCTTTTTCTCTTTAGATACAGATACTTCCTGACAGTGAAAGAGAGGTGGGGGAGGATGAAGAAGAAGAGGAGGAGGAAGGATGAAATAGTGGGGGGGAAGGGGGGCAAAGGAAAGTTGGAGGTAGGGAGAGAAGGAAGAAGAGAAGAGAGTGGGTAAATATCTGGATTAAGGTAACTCTTACCAGATCCTATGTTTCCCTTTTCCCCATAGCTCTGTACCTAGCCAAAGACTGGGAATCCCTCTAATAAATGGCAGCCGTACGTGTAGGAGGCCTGGCATGAGATTCCTATCAGCCTACCCTCCCCACATTGACTGCTCCAAGATGGTCCCAGAATCCTTGAAGGACAAGGATTCTGCCTCAAACATCCTCAGCTGGAGAGAGCAGAGACTCCTCTGGCATCCACTCTGTGTCCAAATGTACACCCAACCCAGGACCTTCAGAGACAACCCCAAGCTGATCTGGATTCCTGGACACCAGCCTTTTGACTCTATCCTGCCCTCAGTGTTCACACAAGAGACCTACATTCACTAGGGTATGAAGACACCACCATCCTGGGGAAGGAGGGAGGTCTGGTGGTTCCCATGTTCATGAATAACACTCTCCATATCTAGACTAGTACCATGGGTCCTTCAGAGATCACAGGAGTTCACTGATGTGTTCTGCATACTTCTATTTTCTCTATAAAGGAGACAGTAAATAGTCTAGAAAGCACCACATCTCAAACCCCCTCTGACAGTCATGGGACATGTGAGTTCACACAAGTCTCTGAAGCATCCTGTAATGAAAGTTGGGGAACCCATGACTTCACAAACATATTTCTCAAGAAACCATTTGGGGGTAATATACATGTTAACATCTTCTATCTGGAAACTATGGGTTGTTTTCATGCTGTCAGGGACATGGGCTTGGAATCAGAGGGATGGATTTGAGTTGCAGGCCTGCACCCTTGTGAGCTGTACCATCATAGGAAATAATTCCAGAACCTTGCTTTCCTCTATGGAATTCATGACAGCGTTTCTAAACCCATCTACCCCACAGCACTGTGTAAGGAGGACATGTATGAAGTTCTGCCTTGAAAGCCAGCAGGCAGAAAAAACACACTGTTCAACAACATGATGAGTCTGCAGATGTGTTAATATCTGGTAGTGTTTCAAGAAGAAAAAAATCACGGCACAAAAGCATGCTGGCACAAACCAGGTTTCTAATATCGAAAGACAGAAAACAGGGCTGGCCCAACTGAGACATGTGCTCCTGTGTCAACCAGCCTCGGGTAAGCTGTAGACAGTACATTAGGCTCATGCTTATGGTCCTGGAATTTGCCAAATCACCAAGAAGGCCAAGAAATAGGACATTGGCCACAGCACACAGAACATTCCATTGTTTCATCTGCTTGGCATCAGACCTTGAAGGAACAGACCCTTTAGTCTCAAGAGCAATAAATGACCAACACTTTGTTTGACATTGGCATATTTACAGAAGGACTGTTTGACTAATAAAACACCCTTGTTAATAACAATTATAATTTAGAAACTAGAGTGCACCAGAATATACACCACCATGAAAAGGTGCCCAGTGCAGTCAGTTCACTCTCTCTCCACTCAGAGGCTTTTCTAGAAGCTAAGGCACCATGGCCATCACTCTGAACTGCCCCACAGCACAGCAGGAAGGTTCTGAAAGCGCTACAGGCTGGGTTGACTGTTTTCTGAAGGCGACTTACTCTGAAGCTGGCTTGTTGGAGGACCAGGTAGTGTTTGATCTCTGCCTCCTAGATGACACAGAAAACAGAAACTGAGGAGCCTCAGCCTCCCAGGTGGTTCTCAGGCTTCTCTTCGATGCTACATCTGGAGGATGGCCATATATTTCCTGCCTATCTATATTGTTGTTGGCTTTTTGTAAAATTGGTTTTGTTCATACCCACTGTGATGAACTTTTAAAACAAAGTCTCCTGTAGTGCAGGATGGTCTTGAGCTCACTGTATGACTGAGGATGACCGTGAACTCCTGATCCTCCTGCCTCCAGCACCCCAAGTGCTAGTAATTGCCATCATGCCTGGTTTATCCAATGCCAAGGATCAAATCCCGAGCTTTGGGCATGCTAGGAAAGCAGTCTACAAACAGGTACATCCCCAGCCCACCTTTCTGATGCTTAAACTTTGTTTTAAGTACTTGCTGCACTGTTTGAAGAGGGTCACATGACTTGCCCTGGAAAGAAATGTGGATTTCTCTTCACTCTAGATAAAGAGGTCATCAACACACACTAAAGAAAGAGTTTTACTGGGCATGATGGCAGACACCTTTAGTCCCAGCACTCAGGAGGCAGAGACAGGAGAATCTCTAAGTTTTCGGACAGCCTGGTCCACAAAGCTAGTTCCAGGACAGCCAGGGCTACACAGAGAAACCCTCAGAAAACAAACCACCACCACCCAAAAAAGAAAAAGAAAGGATTCCATTCAAGTCGACCACCTCACTGAAGAGTCTGCCCTGCAAAGTGTATAAATCACAAAAAGAGGCACCTGTACCACTGAAGAGCCCTTTTGAAAGTTACTACTTCTATACTGTCCTGGAAACCCATCCACCCTAGCCTTCCTCCACCTATGTAATTTTAGGGAATGTGGGGGAGGGGGTGTGTGCTCATGAGCCTCACCTCTCCCTCCTCCAGGGCATGATCCTGTGAAGAGTTGATGATCTCCACTGGTCTTCCTCAAGCTGGAAATGACAGGTCCAAACCAAAAGAAACAGCAACTCACCAACCAACGTGAGGCCTCATTGCTCTGTGGTCGGGTCACCGCTAGCAGCAAAGGCCTTCGGACAATTAAGCTTGGGCTTGAAGGTCCTCTATCTGGCTGTCATTGCCTTTCCTCTATGGGCTTTGATTATAATGGTTGTTCTGCTTGCCTTCAGCCTATGTTAGTTGTAACAAAATAGCTGAGCCTAGGACTCAAGCAGGTAGAAAAGAAAACAGCACGGCCAAGGTTGGTTAGCGAGTACAGGTGACAGAAACAATCCATTTCTGGTGATTACAGCCATGACAGATGGAGGAAAGCAGCTGAGTGTTGCTAGAACTTTCTATGCTTCAAGAGACGCCTGGTAAGGTAATAGGTACCCAAGTAATACACATTGAATCCATTAATATGTAGAGTTAGGTTTTCATATGAAACTTGTAGGTGTTAATTTTAAGCAGTTATTATGCTGTAGCAGATAAACCAGAACAAGGATTCTAGAAGTAGACTTTGTGGTCCCAGATCTAGTTCTTGGCAGCATTGGTGGCACAGGCTTGCCATTCCAGTCGTCAAGAGGTAGAAGTGGAAAGATGGGAGTTCAACACCAAACTTGCCTAGATAGCAAGCTGAAAGTTAGCTTGGGCGACACGAGACTGTGTCTCCTAAAACAAGTAAACATAAAAAACTCCAGCTGTCTCCCATCAGCTATATGAATATGTCTCCATTTGTTCAACCTTTAGAATGCACACAATGAGAGTACCTACTTTACAATATTGTTTGAGAAAATGTGTGTGTGTGTGTGTGTGTGTGTGTGTGTGTGTGTGTGTGTGTGTGTGTGCTGTTTTGCTGGTGATCAAAGCTAATCATCATACATACTATGCGAGCATTCTACCACTGCACTACATACACTGAATCCCCTAGCTTATTTCTTACTTGTCATTGCTATTGTAGTTTTGGTATTTCTATGCATCCCAGAGCAGCCTTGAACTCATGAGCCTCCTGTCTCAGCCCCCGAGTACCAGGTTACAGGCATGTCTCACCATACCCAGTTCATTTTTTTAGAATAATTGTAAGTCTTAGAATAATGCCTATGTAAACAAGAAAATACACAATTCCTTTGACATGCTGTGTGTCTCCTATGTACTCCTTCACTTTTATCCTCATCATAACTATGAGATGGAGGAGTGACTCCACAGCAAAGGTATGTGTGCCCCTGGAGGTCCTCGGGACTCTTGTCTGGCAACAGCTATGCATGGCATTTACAAAGTGTCCAGTGGCTTTCCCAGCAGCACCCTCCAGAAGATAACACAACCAGAAACCCAGGCTGCCAAGGCAACTGGAAAAATCTGAGGGCTCGAGCTTGCATGTGCAATAGGCCTTGTTATCTCATAACTTGATAACTAAGTGAAACAAAAATTTGATTCAAACCAATGTGTGTATTATTTCAATCAGTTAATGAATTGTCCAAAAGTAACCAACATGAGGTAAGAGGCGCCTTGACATTCCATAATGTCCATTTCTATGCATTCTCTTTTACTGACTTTTTAATCATGTTTTGAGACAGGGTTTCACTATGCAACCTAAGGTAGCCTTGAACCCATAGCAATCCCCCTGCCTCAGCTTCTAGGGTACTGGTACTACAGTCAGGAGCCACTATGCCAGCTAACTTTTAAACAATGTCTTGTAGTGATTTGCTTTCCCTTCTGACTCCAAGATCTTTCTCCCAGGAAATTTACCAGCATATTACCTGACTACCCAGGCCTGTAGGCTAGAAACTAGTTAGGGACAATCTGTCGACCTTTACTTATATTTTCCTGGTTCTTGTTGGCTTAAGGTAGATCCTTAATGTTATTTAAACAGAGGAGGCTGTTTGAAATTTCTTGGTAGATGAATTTGATAGTAATAATTTTTAAAATAACAGTGACTGTCATCTGGAAATAAAAGGTCTCATTCATGGAGCACAGCTTATCTGAGTAAGTCAGAACTTCTAGCAAAAAAGGTCAGCGGAGTCCCAGCCATTTCTGCTTCCTGAACAACAGGGGTAGATTCTCCCATACTGTGGCAGTCTGCTTTTAATAGAGTGTAGGCGATATCCAAGAGTCCTCATTATGGAGGACTCCATTTGGTTTGTTTTGGGTTTTTTTTTTGGATTTTTTTTTCAGGAGCTGTGTCTAAATTGAGTCTTTTGGACGCAGACTGCAGCCAATATCACAAGTACCTCCTGTTAACTTAGAATTCATCAGAGTTGGGAGCTGGGATGGCTCAGTTGTAGAAGTCCCTGCTTGCGCTAGCATGAAGGCCTGAGTTTAGGTTCCCAGTGCCCAAGTCAAAAACAACAGCAGGCCACTTGCTGTTTGTAACCCCTGAGCTGGGGAGGACCTGGAGACAGGTGGCTCACTGCAGCTTGTTGATGCTTGAGTAGGCAAACTGATAAAACTCCAGGTCAGTGAGAGACCCTGTCTCAAAAACGGGGTCCAGGGAGACAGCTCAACAGTAAAAGCAGCAGTTGTGAAAGCTGCCTTAGATCCCCTGGAACCAAAGGGAGGGTCCCTATGGGATGTGTGGCATGTCTGTAATCCTATAATCCCCAAACAGAGAAGGGAAGTGGAGACAGGGGAATGCCCAGGAAGCTCAGAGGTTGGTGGGTGGGCAACAGGACCACAGAAGGAGAAACAGGAAAAGATTCCCTGCCTCCCAGAGGAAAGAAAGAACACTTCTCAAACTGGCCTCCACATGCTGTAATAAAATATGCATATATACATATATACATGCATGTATACATACATTTATACATACATGTAAAGAGATCTAAGAAGATACCCAGATCTAAGAGGATACTTCTGTGTGCACACATATGCACAAATACCCACCCACACCCATACAAATGTGCACATGCATGCATGACAAACACACACACACACACACACATGTACACACACACACACAAGCACAAACATACACACACACTTAAGTGATAAGTTTTTTGTTATCTGAACTTTATACCACATTTAAAGATAAAAACAGTACTACTTTAAGGCTTCGGTGGGAAAATGCAAAGGCTGCTTCTCCTTACAAAATACATCACCTCAATATTTATTTATTTTTCAGTGCAGGGAATCAAACAAGGGAGTCACATAACCTCAGCAGACCTCCGAAGCTGAAGTCCGCCAGAGCTCCACCCACACACTGCACACTGAAGATCCTTTTCTCCTGTGACATTCAGCATTAGCCCCTGGCCCTTGAGTGGCATTGGTGAGTTTATCAGTCCACCCGCAGAAGCTTTAGTCCATCCCATGCTACTTCTCCATTTTCAAATGTCCTCTGTAAAGTGTAGCCACTTTGGCCACTGTTCATTAAAGGGTACATGTGGAACCTTCTCCCTTGCAAATTATGCTGAAATGTGTAATTAAAAATATTTGCACATTAATTCTACTGGAAAGAAGAGGGATAGGATTTCAGAGATCAGTAATCTGAATCTTTCTTTAATCGGCATCAGGTAAGTAAGTTGGGCAGAGCAGTCTGTCTGACATAGGGAAATAAAGAGCATTGGAGACAAATTAATTACTCAGCAAACCTTGCTGAAAAAGATGACATACACTTTTCTCCCACCCCCCCCCCAAAAAAAAGTTTCACGGATTTTTGATGTGTTTACCATCACAACGTTGGCAATAAAATACAGCTTTCAGTTTTGATATGTAGCTCAGTGTTTGAATGCTTTCCTAGCAGGTATGAGGCCTTGGGTTCATTCTCCAATATTGCCAAATAAAAAACTTAAAAACAATAATAAAATACAGCTTTAGTAACCAGGTCTATGAAACAAACTACACCTTCTGTATTTTATTTTTCTGAACTGCAAACTTCTATCAAGTAGGTTGCATGGGTAGGGAAATTGGACACATTTTAAAAGTTGGGGGGAAATCTATTTGAAAGAGTGCTTGCTAAAACAATTGATCACAAACTCAATTGGATAAGAGAATAAAGACACAGGGCAAAGTGAACTCTAAGAGTCTAAAAATGGGTGTAGTGCTCAGTTCCTGTGAAAGGAGCAGTGTTCTGGAGTTGCCTTAACAATCTGGTATATGACTTGAAAATACCTCAAAGAATTCACTACATAAAAAGTCATGCTTATCTTTATGACATGTCTGTTTAAATGTTTACACGACCAGATTTATTCCAAACCTGCAGAAGAAGGAAGAGGAGGGAAGGAGGAGAGCAGAAGGGAGGGGGGAGTATTTGAATGATTCTAGTTTTTAAAAAAAATCCCTGTCTTTCATCTCAAGTATGTGTCTAACTCAGTCAGATGAGGGCAAAGGCAGTTTTAGCCAGAACAACCCGGGAAACTGGGGTGAATCATCCTGCCCCGCAGAAGCTAAACAGAACCTGGTTCGAGGGCTATTATTGCAAGGAAATTTGAGAAACAGAAATCGAAACCAACCAGTTGAAGGTGAACAAGAACTTGAAAAGAACTTCCTGTCAGATTCTCGAGACAGAGATGGGCTCAGAAAGCTGTTTAGGTTGTAAACGACTCTGGCTGTCGGACTGTGAAAGCAGTTGGCCAAAACACAGACCTCAACCTCAGGGTGTGGCTGCCATGGTCGCAGATCCTCTGACTGTTGTTTCCCCCCCTTAAGGTGTGTGATGGTGGTGCAGATCCTGAGACACGCAGAGAGATGGACAAGAGTTCCTCGTCCATCCGGACATCTCCTTTGTCTCTCTCCTCTTGCCACCTGGATCTGGGGTCTCAGCTCTTTGCCTGGAACCGTGTACATTTAATGACCAAATGAAATCCAGTAAGGAAAGCCCACTCTTATCTCTTGGCAGAAAGGTCCCTGGAAGAAAGGCAGCAGCTAAACTGGGCACATCATCCCACTGTGGAGACCAGGGTTCCTCACATAAGAAAGGCCCTGCTGTATTGGGGGCAGGCAAAGAGTGGGAAAGCTGGAAGCTAACAGGATTGTTTTGGGGTTCTGCCCAAGCTGGTGTACTCCTTCTCCCAGCAACACTTGGGGGGAAGTGAGAAGGGTACCTGTGCTTGACTCTGAGGTCATCTTAGTCCCCAGGTAGCTCAGCCGCACTCCTAACGTGCAGACTGGTAGCCAAAGCCATGGAGGTGGGTCTGAAGAAGAAAGGGAAAGTAGTCCCCCAGCAAGAAATTTCAGGGACATAAAATTCTTTTGATTAGGAGAGTTCTCACTCCAGGTTGCTCACTCCAGGGCATTCAGTAGCCACCAAAAGAAAAAAAGGGGGGAAGGGGAGAAAAAAAAGATTAAAAAGTAGCCACGGTTTGTAACTATAATGTAAGGTCGTGGAAGAGAAGCCTGGAAATCTGACTGCACTATCTCTGGAATCACCTCTTTTAGGGGCTGACTTGTAAGTCAGAAAACTGAAGAGTTTGAGAAAGGACGCTGCTTTGTGCCGCTGTCCAGAGTTCCTTGAAAATGGGCCATACAGGAGAGGAACAATTCTTCATTCATCATTGATTTGGAAACAAACAGGTCTCCTGTCTGCTGCTGCCTCTTTCTTCCCCTAACTCTTCCTTCCCTGGTTCTAGCTGCTTTGAGGGAAATGTCATGAGTCTCACACTCTGAAGGAGAACTTCTCCACTAAAGCCTTGACCTGTGAGGAGAGGCCCAGGGGGCTGGAAGCCACCTCAAGACAAGTCTGGCCGGCAGACAGAAGTGAGCCTGCACCAGGGAACCCAGAAGCCAGGGATTCCCACCCCAGCACAGTGGTGTGAGGCAAGTTTATTTTGCTTCACTGAGCAAAGGAAGCTTCCTAGTCCAGCTTGCAGATCACAAAGCTTATGCAAGCCAAATACTTCGGGGAAGTCCAGGAGCCTTGTGGGCTGTGTTCACCTTAAGAGTTTATACCAAAGTAGAATCACCTAGTTGCTGGGAGGGGCACTTGGCTCTCTCCATCTCAGGTCAGGTCAGCATCTTCTAAGCAATGACTTTTTGAGTCCAAATACGGAAGACCCTTGTCTTGGGAGTAAAGAAAGGTTTGCTTTAGAGGTAGCTCCTGCCCTTCCTAAGGCTTTCCTTTCATAGCACACACAGAGAAGCAGGCAGCAAGTGTCCATTCCCTTTTACAGAGACCTTTCTTTCAGCATGCCTTTCTCCTGTCTCTTCCCCTCCCTTCCCTTCCCTTCTCCTTCTTACCTTCTTTCCTTCCTTCCTTCCTTCCTCCCTTCCTTCCTCCCTTCCTTCCTTCCTTCCTTCCTTCCTTCCTTCCTTCCTTCCTTCCTTCCTTCCTTCCTTCCTTCCTTCCTTCCCCTTAAACACAGCCAGCAGCTCCCACAAACCCAGAAAAGGCATCCATTATCTTGGGAGGGGTAGGAAAGAGGTAGGTGGAAGAGAGACGATAACACAGGCTTCTCGTCCCCAGATTTGGACAGCAAGGGTCAATGCCACCAGTTTTTAGCTATGAGATGGTGCTAAGATCTGTACTTAACCACAGCTCCGAAAGGTGCCTGGGGACAGTGGCAGAAACTGGCTTTTGCTTTTGGCAGAGGAACTGCAACTGTCTCAAGCCGGCTTCAGGGAGATTCTTGGCAGATCAGGACGAGCGCCCACCATCCAGCCTGAACCAGACAGTTCCTGCAGTGTGAAAGCAGGACAGAGGCTGGCAACACACAACATGCCATCTCCTTGTCCTGTGGGCAGTGGGGAACTTCTGATATGCAGAGAGGCCCACTCCATGGGCCCCACTACAAGTCTGTGCATAGCCTTCCCTCTTTCCAGTCTATCCCCAAAGGCAGCCTTGAGGACTTTGAGCGAGATGAAGTTCCAAAAAGGATCCTAAGAGTGAGATCAGGAAAATTGACGGAGCTCACGAATTGCATGGAGATGGTTGCATGCTTGCAGCGGCAGGGACACTGGGCCACGGTATGGATGTGAATCCCAGATCGTGCATTTACTGCCTCCTAACTCCCCATGCTCTCATTTTCGGCCAGACTGATAGGAAACCAGAATTCTTTGCGGTCACAACCTTCCCTGCGTCGCTCCCCCATGGAGACCATGCCTGTGCCAAGATTGCAAAGGACACTTTGACACACCAGGAAGGAGCCACAAGCGGGCCACCGCGCGCCTGCGGGAAAGAGTGTCTGGCCGCGGCTGAGCGCGCACAGTCACCCAGAGCCCGTCACTGTCCACGCGTGCCTGAGCGCTCGCTTTGCCCTGGGGGTGCGGGAGCTTTCAATACCCACTACATTCCGACTGTCGATTTCCAAAACTCAGAAACTGTGCTTGAGGCTCCGACGCTTAGGGGGGAAAAGGACAAGGTCAAGGTCTACCCTTAGCCACGGTTCGCCCCGCCTTAAGCAAGCCCAGACTGCAACGGCTGGAAAAACGGATGACAGAGTCCAGTGTGCCTGGCTGGAGTTGACGGACCTTACCCTGACTCTTTCTGACCAGCCCCAGGCCACTGCTTTCCTTCCTTTTCCCTCTTTTCTGCTCAGAGACGACTCAAGGGGTTGTGATTAAGATCAATCGGAGCTCGCACAGCAGCCGGGTAGCTCCAGACCGCCATGCTAAGCGGGCGCTGCGCCAAAGCTACTCCCGGAAAGATCCCTAGCGGGACGCATCTCGTCCCCTCCTCCCAGAGCGCGGGTTGGCGAACGCGGAGGGCTTGTAGGCGCCCTCTGGTCCCAGGCTCCCCTTCCCTCCCCCGGGACCCGTACTGTCCTCTGCACGCAGCTCACACGTCCCCCACCCCCACCCCCTTCCCGCCTCACTCCGAGAGGCCACTAGGCTCTCATCTCAGAGTCTAGAAACAAACTCGGTTTCAAGTTGAGAGCCGGCTAGAGCGGGGAGATGGGGAGGGACACACAAATGGAAAGCGGGGGGTGGGGGGGCTAGCAGAGAAAAGAGCGAACTAGAGCGTCCGGCTGGAGGTCGGAGGGGGCAGAGGCTGGGGACAGCGCGACCCACGCGGTCGCAGCGGCGAGCGACAGCGCCTCCCGCGTGTACCCGGAGGGAGGCCCGGCGTCAACTCACAGGATCCCAAGTGCGGGGCCGCTGTCCGAGCTCCCGGGAATGGTGGCTTTGGGTGTCCACGAGGGTGTCCGCCTGGTCGTCTGCTGCAAGAGGGGGAAACAAACAAATCGCGGGACACCAGCGAGACAGGGCGCCGCGGGGACCTCTGGCACTCCGCCCCAGGAATCGGGCGCAGGGTTCGGGCTGCGGGGTGTAGACTATAAATAGCAAACTTTCAGATGGAATCAACTAACAAATGAAAGGAGCGGGAGTAAATTTGCGAAGGACCTCCCCCCACCTTCACACACACCTTAGGGGAAAGACCTGGCGTCCCTCTTGTCACTCTCCTGGCACGGCTTGGGAGGGGACTGGTTTGAAGGAGGAGCGGGTTTTTAATGTCTCTACAATTTCCAGCAGTTTTGTTACTTGGCTTCAAGAGATTCCCTTCTGCCTACCTCGCTCCACCTGCAGCCACTCAGGAGCCAGGAAGGGCGAAGCCTCCCGGTGCTGAGAGGGAGGAGGCCGAGGGAGAGTTTCCCCGAGGACTAGCCCAGCCACGGCCTTTAGGGAGACAGGGAAACTGCCAAGACTCGGGGTTCACTTGAGGTCCCGGGGTAGGAATTTGGGCAATCCCGCATTTGGGAAGGAATTGCGACAGGGCGGATTCAGAAGCCACAAGAGTAACCTGGAGAGCAGGGTTGCCCTTCCCGGGCCCAACAATGACCTCCAGTACCAGCGACCTCTCAGGGTTGGTTTGCTTGAACCCTGCGCCCAGGAAGGACCCTGGAGAGTCACTGCTCATACCCAGGGCATGACTTTTCACTTGCGCTGTGGTTTCGGGGTTTCGCTGCAGCTGGGGCTGCGGGGATGCCACCAGTAATTCTTCCCCACTTAGCCCTCTCCACCCTAAACCGCCCCCGGGGGCAGTTGCCTTTTCCCACGGGGTTCACACCAGCCATCTGGAATAATGCCAGTTGTTTGATTGCCTGGAAATCCCACCCCACGCGACCACCCTTTTTCTGGTCCCTTGGCCCGTCCGTGATATGGACGGTGGTGAATGGGTTAGTTCGATTTTTCATATTCATTTTGTTTCTTCAAAAATATAATCTTTGAGGACAGGAAACCCTAGCACTCCAACCTCCCTAAGCTCGCTGGGTTGCTGCTTCAAAGCTTTGCTGAGTGTCGCGTAGAGGAGAGGGACCCGGGTCAGTAGGAGTGTCAATGTAGGTTGGTGTGGGAATTGTGTCAGGAAGAAGAGGTTGAAGGGGAACAGGGTTTGCCCCGCTCGCTTGAGAGGGTGGATTCTGCACGCGGGGGCTGGGGATCAACGGCGCCCAATGGGCCGCAGGAGGCCTGTAGGGTGGTGGTCCTTTTCTTTCCCACCGTTTACCTCTCCCCAACACCTTCCCGCCCACCCTCTACACGAAAAGGTCAAAGGTTCTCGGTGCGGGTTGCAAGCTGGGAATCTCCTACTGGTGGGTACCTGTCTCTGTCCTCAACTGCGCTTTCCCAGGAGCGCGATCTGCCAGTTTTTGCCCCATGATCCCTAAACATATTCCAGGAGAATCCAGCCTGGCTTGGACTCAAAGGAAAAGGGGAGAGGTCTAAGGCGTATTGGGGAGTAGCTATTGTTGCCCCTCAGTGTCCATGGCCCATGACTCCATGCACGTAGGTGCGTGAGCGCTCTCTCTGCTAGCCCCTGTCAAGCCTAAGCTCCTGCACGTCCACTTGGCGCTTTGGCCGCGCTCCCTCGACTTCCCTCCAGGGACCGGGAGTCTGCCCCGGGTGTCCTTTGGCACCAGCCCCTGCTCGAGTTCAGAAAGATACTAAAGGCGCCCCGGTCTGGAAGGGACAGAGCCCTGGAATCGCGGGACCCCCCTGCCTGACTTGCGCGCCCAACGCTACGCACCTGTCCTGGCCTTCCTGCTGCGGTCGCTGAGCTGGTTGGGAGCTGGGCCTGGAGCCTGAAGCCTCCCGCGGAGCCCGCCCTCACCCTCCTCCTACCGGCTCGCCTTTGCTCTTTGGGACGCCCTGCCACCAGCAGGGCGGTCTTTCCTGGGCCACGCTGTGGGCTACGATTCCCAGCCCGCCAGGAGACTATTTCTCAGCTGTGCGACCACTCCACGGGAGCACTGTTCATCCTTTCCTGTCTCCACCATGCCCGCAGGTGCCCTCCTGCATCCCGCCTTAGTATCCCAGACTTTGAAACTGAGGGGGGCTCTGCAAAGAGAAAGGCAAGGAACACTTGCTGGAAAAGGTGCAGGTCGGGTGGGTGTTCCGGACGGTTCTGAGTGTTCACTGTAGAGGAACAGGCCTTGGGGTGATGAACATGATGGACGTACAGACCGAGTCCCTATGGCTGTCCCCAAAGCCTGGTTCCCGCCTATTGTTTTACGCCTGGGAGAAAGCTGCCCAGCGTGATAGATCTCTGTAGATCCCATCACTGGAAGAAAAATCCTGCTGATAACGATTATCTCCTGGTCGTGCTATCTTACCATCACCCCAATTCATCTCCTTCTCGCTCCAGCCCCT